CTCACGAGCCACATGCGGCTCTTTGTCCCCTTGAGTGTGGCTCTTCCACAAAATACCACGTGCGGACGCGCACGTACAGTGTGATTGAAACTTCGTGATCCGGGTGCCCCCTTCAAAAAAAAACCAAAAACAAACAAACAAACAAAAAAGAATGAAACTTCATGGCCCATGCGCAGAAGTCGGTATTTTGTGGAAGACCTGGTATTTTGTGGAAGAGCCACACTCAAGGGGCCAAAGAGCCGCATGTGGCTCGCGACCCGTGGTTTGCCGAGCCGCGGTTTGCCGACCACTGGACTAGGCTAAGCTGAATTGTCTTCTATGGGTTTAAAATTTACACATAATGTATTTTTCTTGTGGTGGTAGCCATTAACTGCAGATTCATACCTAAGGGTTTGAGTTTCTCCATCTCAACAATTTGAACAAAAGCCCAAACAAAAGTTCTAAGCTTGACCCTCAAAGACCTGCTATGTTTTCTGCTCATGTTGATCCAATCGCTGTTGCTGAGATGGCAGGTATTTGATCGCCTAAGGAAACAGAGGGCACCTTCACCAAAAGAAGGGTGAATGGAGGCTGGGAAACCATCAAATAATACATGCCCACCTCTTCATATTAAATTAACTTCTTTGTGCCTCAGTTTCTTCATCTGTGAAACGTCAATAATGCCTACACAAAGGGCTGATGTGAAAAGCAAATTGGGCCTTAGATATTAATATCCTTTGTGAATCATAAAGTGCTGTACAAAGTTATTATTCTCCCTTTTGCATTCCTCACATGAGATTACATCCTTTATTTAGAAGTTGGTATTTATCTGTATTGCTACATGGAGAACTACCATTCTAGTTAGCATTTTTCCTAAATTGTGCTGATGCCCATAGAACTGATTTTCCTCCCCCCCCCCTCCCCCCCCCCCCCGGAGAGTAATGAATGGGCATGATGCCAGGGTTATGTTTCACCTGGAAGTCAGTTTCCATCCAGAGTCCTAAAGTTGCAGGGCGAGTAACTTGCTAGTAGACTCACCAGGCTACACACAACTGAAAGCTTGGCGCAATGGTGATAACTAAGCTCCAGTTCATTCTCTACCTCAAATTAGGTGTGACCTGAGCCACATCACTTAAACTCTTTGAGCCCAAGAAATGGAGGTCATATGAAGGTCTACCTTTTAAACTTGTGGTGGGATTACATGTAAAATACCCTAACCTTGGAGAAAGTCTTAAACTTCTCAGACACAGATTCAAATCTCTTCATTGATCAGGTACTGATTTCCATCCTGCTACCTATGGCTAGGATGAGTGCAGGTTCTTTCTCATCTCTGAAGTGCACTGAATTGCCCTGCTTCCTTGGAGAATAACTGTTGCCCCCCTCAAGGCTTTATCTCTTTGGAATTTGGACCAGGAATACTTGCCCAGCAGGATAGTTTCACAAGAGAGCCTGTTCTTCATAAGCAACTGGGGTTGATAATTCTGGTTCTTTTCAGATACGAATGCTGTAGAGTCAGGCTAGCCTGAAAGACAGTGTGTACCTACTTTGCTTACTGGAATAGGTTCTTCTACCACATGCCTTCTCATAAACCTGTCATAACCTCATGAATTAGAATAATACCGTCCCCATTTTACTGATAAGAAAACAGAAGATCACCCAAATTAAGTAACTTGATACAGTTGATAAGGAGAAAGGAGATATAATGTAAGAAGGATGGGTTTTGGAGTTGGCTCTAAATTCGGATCCTAGCCCTGCCATTTACTAGATCTCAGATTTTGGTCCAGTGACCTAATCTCTTCAATCTCAGCTACAGTTCATCTGTAAAGTGGAGATTTTACAAATAATTATACTAGAGGCCTGATGCACAAAATTCGTGCAATAGTAGGCCTTCCTTCCCCCAGCTGCCAGCACCAGCTTCCCTCTGGCACCCGAGACCCAGGCTTCCCTCTGGCTGCCGGTAGGCACCCGGGACCCGGGCTGCACTGGCTTTGTCCGGAAGGTCGTCCAGAAGGATGTCTAGTCTAATTAGCATATTAAGCTTTTATTATTATAGATCTACCTCACCTGAATGCTGTGAGGTTGAATTGAAGAGTATGTGTAGCCCAACCAGTATGGCTCTATGGTTGGGCATCGACCTATGAACCAGGAGGTTGTGGTTCAGTTCTGGTTGGGTCACATGCCTGGGTTTGGGCTCCATTCCTGGTGGGGGGTGTGCAGGAGGCAGCCAATCAATGATTCTCTCTCATCATTGGTGTTTCTATCTCTCTTTCCCTTCCTCTCTGAAATCAATAAAAATATATTTTAAAAAGAAAAAAGAAAGAGTATACATAAAGCAGAGTGCCTGGCACATGGTAAGTGCTCCATAAAAGACTTAAATACTTGCTAAGTGTATTGGGAGCCCAGAGCCCACCCATATAGTGCTGCCTTATAGGAAGCTTCATCATCAAGCTCCTTTAAAACATTTCAATGGACATTGAAATGATTTTACAAATAAATCCCTTGAGCTACAATCCCAGATGACAGTCTCAGGAAGGAAATGAGGCAGTAGGATACAGTGAAAGGGGCCCAGGCACGGGAGTATAGAGACCTAGGATTTAGTGCTGGTTCTTCTTCAGTGTGTGTGGGACCTTGGGCAATGCACGTTACCTCCCTGGGCCTCGGTCTCCTTATTTGTAAAATGGAGACTATATTCTTTGCCTCACAATGTTGCTGGAGATACAAATGCACATGGATACAAACACACTTTTTACAGTTTTAGAAATGCTGTGTAAATATGAGGGTTTTCAATTTGTGTCTGCTCTTCTCCTCAGAGGGAAAGCAAACAGGACTCAAGATAACCTGAGACCTGCCTCCTAGAGAGCAAATGTTGGGGACCCCACATTCAGTGAGGCCTGATTATTTGCTGCTGCAGCAGCAACTTGTACTCACATATCAATTACTGTGCCTGCTAAATCCTCAGCCCCGTGAAAAGGCAGCTCTGTGCAGACACACCATCCCCACCCACACCCTGCCCCACACAGCTATTTGGACCAGGACTGGGAATCTGACCCAAGACAAGAAACCTGTGAGCTTGCCAAGGACCCACAAATGTGGCCTGGCTCCTAAAAAATGAGTTGGACAAATCAATATTTCTCTCTCAGGAATTTGAGTCAGGAAACATGAGGTAATTGAGGCAATTAGTAGCAATAAAAACTATGACTAAAAGGATGTAAAGTGAAAGGCTGTGAAGCTGAGTAGGGGTACGTGTGGGAGGAGATAAGAGTCTGGGCTATGACAAACCAAAGTGACGAGGAAGCAGAAATTATGAATAAACAGAAGCTATGAAGTAGAAAAAGATAACATATGTTTATTCAACAAATATTTCTAGAGTTCTTTCTATGTATTAGGCACTGTGTTAGGCTCTGAATATACAAAAGTGACTAAAAAGGGGTTTATTTGGGGTAAAAAGGGGACATATATAATACTTTCAACAATAAAGATTTAATTAAATAAATGAATGAATAAGTACATAAACAAACACAAAAGTGACTAAGAGACAGCCTCTGCCTTCACAGCTCTTAATCTTAATGGGGGAGAGAGACAAAACAGGTAAATTAAAAAAATAAATAATTACAAATTGTTTTAAAGACTAAAAAGAAAAATAAATATGGGTCTGAGATAGAACATACCAGGAAGGGAGCTTATGAAACAGCAAGGTGAGCGAAGTTCTCTCAGAACAGATAAGTAAGTGAGCCCTAAAGAATGAGAAAGAGCCAGGGAGAAGAGTATTTAAGGATGTGTAATGCCTGATGACAGGAAAGGAAGTTGGAAAACAAAAACAAAACAAACCAGGTGGCTGGAGGAAAGGGAAGCAGCAGGAAAGGAGTTAGGAGGGGTAAGCAGGAGGCAGTCAAGGAACCCCACAGGCCTGGCATGGAGTAGGGAATGCAGTCCCTGTGTATAGAGAAGCCATGAGAGTATTTGAAGCTGCGTAGTAGTAACATGATCCAGTATAATGTGGTAGATAAGCTTGAAGGTATAGAGTCAGTCTGGGTGCAAACTTAAGTTCTACCATTTGCCAGCTGAGTGTCCTTGGGCAAAGTACTTAATCTCACTGTGCCCCAGCTTTCTTTTCTATAAAATTGAAGTGAAATTGGGTATTACCTCATGGAGTTGTTGTGAAGATTAAACATATAAAGTGCTTATAGTTCTGACATATAATAAACACCCAATAAATGTAAGTTTACATTATTACTTAGTTTTTGAAAAGGTCATTATGACTACTGTATGGAGAATGAATGTGTGTGGGATAAAAGGGAGGCCAGTTATGAGGCTGATGAATAGTCTGGATGAGAGATGATGAGTGAGGTAGTGGTAGTGGAAACAGAGAGAAATGAACTAATTTGGCATATTTTTGGAGGTAAAACTTTCATATTTTGTGGATGGATTGGACACTGTGGAGGAGGAAAATAGAGGAATCTAGAAGGACTCCTAGGTTTCTGGCTAGAGCTGCCAGGTGGATAGCAGTGGCATTTCCTGAAAGGGAGGAGCCTGCGGGAAGCAGATTTGACAGGGAAATTAGTTTTATTTGAGACATGTTAAGTTTAAGATGTCAATGAGATATCCAAGTAGATGTCAATTAGGCAGTTGGTTATATGTTTGGAGACCAGAAGAGAGGTCAGGGATGAAGATATGAATTTAGAAGTTACTAGCAAATCAGCATTTGGAGAATGGAAATAGCTGAGGTCATCCAGGGAGAGAGCATACAGAGAGAAAGAAAGGAGCCAAGAAGAGTTCTGAGGAGCAGCTTGTTTTATGACGGTTGAATAGACACGGAGAACGAGGAGAGGCCTGTGAAGAGAGAGTAAAACCAGAAGAGGGAGTGTTTCAGGAAAATTGGAGAGGTCAGCTGAGGGTCGAAAGGTCAAATAAGATAAGGATAGAAAAATATTGGTCACCAATGATATTGGCAAGAGCAGTTTGGGTGAAATAAGGGCACTAAGTAAGCACCTAATAGATTGAAGAATGAATTGGAGGTGTTCTTGCTTTTACAGCCAATATACTAAACAATACAGAGAACAATACAGAGAAATTTGGCATGACTCCTACGCATAGATGACACACAGATTTGTGAAGCATTTTATATGTTTTTTGTATGGACTTGACTTTTGGACAATGCTAGCTTTTTAAAAAATATATTTTTATTGATTTCAGAGAAGAAGGGAGGAGAGAGAGATAGAAACATCAATGCTGAGAGAGAATCATTGATTGGCTGCCTCCTGCACGCCCCCTACTAGGGGGTGAGCCTGCAATCCAGGCATGTGCCCTTGACTAGAATCAAACCTGGGACCCTTCAGTCCCCAGGCTGACGCTCTATCTACTGAGTCAAACCAGCTAGGGTGACAATACTAGCTTTTACATATTTAAAAATAAAATTGAATCAGCAAGAATGAGAGGGATCCTAAAGCTAAATATAAACAGAAACCAATAAACCTAACTAAATTTAAATAATATTACCACTCTGAAGGTTTAAAAAAACCACTTTAGAACACAGTACTTTGAATATACAGTATACCATTAGCAAAAAAACAAAACTGCAAACAAATCTTGAATCATATTTAGTAGATTGTTTTTGGTAGTGGAATGGATGTAGCAATTCTTAAATTATTCTGTGTGTATCATAACATTGAGCAAATGCAAAAAGATTTTGATGGTGTTGAGAACCACAGTTCTCACTCTGGGAATAGGGGCATGCAAATAAAGAATGGGAGAAAGAACCCTGTGGTGTTGAATTGGAATTAGAGGAGTCAGTAGTGAATTCATGATTAAGAATAGTTGAACTGGATAAAGTTGCCATTCTCCCCACCCCCCGAGCTCTGTTTACTTAAAGGGCCTAGAAATAATTACACCCCAGTAGCAATGAGCAATCTGGTGCCCAGATCTTGGTTTCTAAATACTATTCCCCATTAAAATGGGAGCTCTCTGGAGAGACAGATGATTTCCAAGGGAGGCAGAGAAAGTACAGTGATGAACCTGGAACATCATATTATACCAGAAAGCAAGAAAGTGCTTAAAATAAGTGAATAAACGAATAAATAAATAAATAAATAAATAAATAAAAATAATGGACATGTTCAAAAGGATACCAGAGCCAGCTTGAGGGGGCTCTCACTGGCCAAATATGGGACAAGCTGCACATTTAAATGAATAATGATAGGAATGAATTATAAACTATTAAATAAAATAAGAATTCACAAGTCTATACTGGTGATGATAAATATATCTATAATAATAAAAGCATAATATGCTAATTAGACCGGACAGCCGAACAACCTTCCAGTCATCGGATAACCTTCTGGACGAAGCCAGGGCTATGAGGGCTGAGACAGTTGCCGCAGCTGTGAGAGCTGAGCCCCTTGCATGAATTTCGTGCATCGGGCCTCTAGTCCTATATAATAAAACCCTAATTTGCAAATTGACTGAACAGCAGAATGACTGGTCACTATGATGCACACTGACCACCAGAGGGCAGACGTTCAATGCTGGAGCTGCTCCCTGGTGATCAGTGCGCTCCCACAGGGCTCACGGCTGGCGAGTGCAGCAGCAGTGGCGGGAGCCTCTCCCGCCTCCACTGCAAGGTGGGCAGTAAGGAGCAAGGGGTCCCGGACTGCAAGAGGGATGTCTGACCGGCTGGCAGACATTTCCTGAGGGGTCCCGGGCTGTGAGAGGGTGCAGGCCAGGCTGAGAGACTCCCACCCTAGTGCACAAAATTTCGTGCACCGGGCCTCTAGTAAGTAAATAAGAAAGAAGGGAAAGATTTTACAGTAGAATGCCAACTGAAAATGTAGATGGAGTAATAGAGTCATAAAATCACCATTTTGCAGCCATCATAGTAATTGATTCAGGTAAGAATTAATTTTCAACGAATATTGAAAACTTTGGGTGAAACTTTTGAAGAGGACCAGGATATTTACACAGTCTCAAAGTACCTCCCCACAGATTACTCATTATTTACACAGGGAAAAAATGCTAACTTTACAGTGAAGAAACCTGGCAGATACCACCTTAACCAACTGACCAAAGTGAACACCATCAATAATGAGATCAAGTGACACCACGTATCTCCTCATCTGATGTACTGAGGACACAATATCCCACAGTGCCCTACCCCCCACCCCCCAAATCCAATTATAAGAAAACACGAGACAAAACCAAATAGAGGAAAATTTTATAAAACACTGGCCTGTACTTTTCAAAAATGTCAATATCACAAATAACAATGAAAGACTAGGGAACTAACTGTTCTAGATTCAAGGAGACTAAAGAGTCATGACAGTTAAATGCAAAGCATGATTAGGGATCAGGCACCGGGTCAGACCCTGTATCAGAAGGGAAACTGCTGTATAGGACATTATCAGGCCAACTAGTGACCTTTGAATATGAACTAGGTGTTACTCTTATATAAGTATTAAATATCCTGAATTGGATCATCATACTGCGGCAAGGTGTCCTCCAAAATTTGATCATTATATCTATATACAGGATGTCCCCCCAAAATGTATACGTACTTTTTTGTGATAACTCAATTGATGTTTCTTTTTTATTCTAGATTTAACCCATTGGAATTAATAATTATTCAAAATGTGTAAAAAAGTTTTTGGGATTATATATATATATATATATATATATATGTGTGTGTGTGTGTGTGTGTGTGTGTGTGTGTGTGTGTGTGTATAGAGATTGGGGCAAAATGTTAACTTCTGGTACATCTGGATGAAGAGTATATGGAAATTCTTCGTAATACTCTTGCAAATCTTCTGGAAGTTTGAAGTTATTTTAAAATAAGACGTAAAAAAAATTGGAGATGAGGAACAGAAACAGTATGTAGATAACTTTGGAGCAATTTGACTATGAAGGAGAGCAGAGAAATAAGACTGGAAAGAGCCAGGGTTATAAAATACTAGCTCTTTAAAGGTAAGAGAAACTAAAGCAAGTTTGTAATCTGTAGATATTAACAATGATATGCTTCAGCCCCTCCTCTTTAGAAGGAAGATTAGATCAAACACCCTTAACTTGGGCCCTCTAAGATTCTCCTGCTTTTAGACACCATGAACTGTTCTGAAAACACATTTTATTCCCTAAACTGCAACCAGGAAGAGACATTTGGGCCACCACTTGAGGGCAGTACAAAATGCTGCATGTCATTCTGGTGGTTTTATTGTTTCAGCTGCTGGAACAAAACAAAACCTTTTACATGATTTTCTTTCACATGTATTGTATGAAATAAACCTTCTAACACTTTTTTCAAATGTTTAAACAAAAAAAGCCCAACATAATTCAGAGCAGGAGTTTGGGGAACGGAAAGAAGGGGTGAGAGAGAGGGTCTCCTGCTTGGAGGAATGCCTGGCACATGTTATAAGATTAATAAAGAATAAATGATAACAGCCCTAGCCGGTTTGGCTTAGTGGATAGAGCATCAGCCTGTAGACCAAAGGGTCCCGGGTTGAATTCCAGCTGCAGGCTCCTCCCTGGCCCTGTGTTTTTCTCACATCGATATTTCTCTCTGTCTTTCCCTCTCTCTTCCACTCTCTCTAAAAATCAATGGAAAAATATCCTCAGGTGAGGATTAACAACAACAACAACAAAAGAATAAATGATAGCAGAAAAAGTAAAGCATGTCAGATTGGAAGGAGCCCCAAAGAAGGATGAATCCAGCCCTCTCATTTTATAGACAAGACCTTACATCCAGAGGAGGGAAGGGGCTTGGCCAAAGCCACAATGACGTAGTAGAGAAGATAATGGCTTCAGCACTCATCTGGTTAGTCTGTGAAGACAGAGGTTATGATATTTGCAAATGACATCATAAATATAGCTTGCAAAGAGATTGACCCCATCATTGTTAGTGACTGAGTTTCTAGAAAAATTGTGACACCTCAGTTGTCAGACTGTGCCCCTTGAGTCTTCCATACCCTGGAGGAATGTAACTATTTCACCTTCAACTCTTATCCACTTCAACTTGTCCTAATGCTCTGGACAGCATAGTTATGATCACATTCAACCTATTTCCCACCCCTTTCTGGAAATAATGAGACTTTCCTACCAAAAGTCTCATTATTAGGGATGGATTTGAAGGCCATTGGAAAGAAAGTGAATGGGCACATGCAAATACATGATTTGGAAAAGTTAACAGTACCAGTGCACTAGAATGGAGGAGGCATCTTAAAAGGACAAACAGAGCCCAGCTGGTGTGGGTCAGTGGTTGAGCATTGACTCGTGAACCAAGAAGTCACCAGTTCGATTCCCGGTTAGGGCACATGCTTGGGTTGCAGGCTGTATCGCCAGTGAGGGGTGTGCAAGAGGCAGTCGATCATTGTTTCTATCTCATTGATGTTTCTATGACACTCTCCCTTTTCCCTTCCTCTCTCTCTTAAATCAATAAAAACATATTTTTTTAAAAAGGACAAACAGAAAATCCTACTGAAATGTAAAAACTCTAAATATGACCTAAGTACATAATGGAGAAGAAAGTAACTTTACACTGATCAAAATATAGAAGCCAACATGACTTCATATTGTGCTAATAAGTGGGCTCCATTTACATAGAAGGGCCCCTGACTTCATTGTTACCCACAGAGAAATGCTGAGGCATTAGCCTGGCACCTCAAAGACCTCCTAACCTGGCCCCATTCCACTCTCTAGTTTCAAGTCCTGCTGTAGCTCCCATTTCATGCTCTGCTGCTGCAATGGTTTAACTGTTATTATGCTCTGCACTTGCTCCATTTTGAGGTTCATATAAAACGCCATGTTCTTTGATGTTTTCCTTGGTCTAATCCTCACATTTACCTGAGAGCTCTTTTTGGCTCCCTCAGTCATTGCCTGCACTTAGCTTTAGCATTCATTTCTTCCTTGTCTTCCCCACTACATAGTGAGCACTTTGAGGTCATGAACTGGGTCTCAATGCTAATTGTTTTAGGAATTGTTTCCATTTATTAAGAATCTATCAATAATCTGTCTTATCTTTTTACCTCTCCTGTCTTTCCAGCTCGCTTCTTCCAACATCTCAACTCCAATAGTTCTCTGATACCTCCTGGGTCCTATAAGCCATTGATTCCAACACTTCTTCATCTCATGTCCTCACTTCTTTACTTAC